AACAAATTTCAACAATATCTACACACAAATCCAACATTACAGAAGACACTCGAAGAGAAAATACAACCCAAGAAAACTAGCTACTTTCAAGAAAACACAGGGAATAATTAACCTTACTACAGTAAAACAAAAAGCAACCAAGCACATAACCTTATAACCACAGCCAATATCAAAATCAAAGGAACTAACAGCCACTGGTCATTAATCTCTCTCAACATCAATGGACTCAAATTCCCCAATAAAAACACACAGACTAACAGAATGGATGCATAAACAAAACCCAACAATCTGTTGTATACAAGAAACACACCTAAGTCACAAAGATAGACATTACCTGAGGGTAAAGGGTTGGAAGATGACTGTCCAAGCAAATGGACCCAAGAAGCAAGCAGTAGTAGCCATTCTAATATCTGATAAAATAGACTTTCAACCAAAATTAATCAAAAGAGATGGGGAAGGACACTTCATACTCATCAAGGGAAAATTTCACCAGGAAGACATCACAATCCTGAACATCTATGCCCCAAATACAAGGGCACCCACATTTGTAAAAAAAAAAAATTATAAAACTTAAACCACACATAGATCCCCACACATTAATAGTGGGAGACTTCAACACCCCACTCTCAACAAAGGACAGGTTAACAAAACAGAAATTAAACAAAGTCTCTAACAGAGGTCATGAATCAAATGGACCTAACAGACATTTACAGAACCTTACACCCAAACACAAAAGAATTTACCTTCTACTCAGCACCTCATGGAGCCATCTCCAAAATAGACCATATAGTTGGTCACAAAGCAAGCCTCAACAGATACAAGAAGATTGAAATAATCCCTTGTATCCTGTCTGATCACAATGGAATAAAGCTGGACCTCAACAACAACAGAAATAGCAAAAAGCCTACACACACAAGGAAACTGACAACACATGCTGGAGAGGTTGTGGAGAAAGTGGAACCCTCCTCCACTGCTGATGGGAATGTAAACTTGTACAACCACTCTAGAAATCAATCTGCTGCTTTCTCAGACAACTAGGAATAGTGCTTCTTCAAGATCCAGCCATCCTACTCCTAGACATATATCCAAAAGAGGCTCAAATACACAATAAGGACATGTGCTCAACCATGTTTGTAGCAGCTTTATTTGTAATAGCCAGAAGCTGGAAACAGCCCAGATGCCCCTCAACTGATGAATGGATGCCAAAATTGTGTTACATCTACACAATGGGGTATTACTCTGCAATGAAAAATAAGGAAATCATGAAATTTGCAGGTAAATGGTGGGACCTGGAAAGGATCATCCTGAATGAGCTGTCCAGGAAGCAGAAAGACACACACAGTATGTACTCACTCATATAGACACATAAATAAGATAAACCTACTAAAATCTGTACATCTAAAGAAACTAATCAAGAGAGAGGACCCTGACTAAAACGCTCAATCCCCATCCTGAAAGGAAAAGAGGATGGACAGAAGAAGAAGAAGAAGAAGAAGAAGAAGAAGAAGAAGAAGAAGAAGAAGAAGAAGAAGAAGAAGAAGAAAACAGAAAACAACCTAAGAACCTGCCACAGAGGGCCTCTGAAAGGCTCTGCCCTGCAGACTATCAAAGCAGACGCTGAGACGTATGGCCAGTTGTTGGGCAGAGTGTATGGAATCTTATGTAAGAAGTGGGAATAGTAAGATCTGGAGAGGACAGGAACCCCACAAGGAGAGCAACAGAACCAGAAAATTTGAACACAAGGTTCTTCCCAGAGACTCATACTCAAACTAGTACCAGGCATGGAGATAACCTAGAACCCCTGCACAGATGTAGTCCATGGCAGTTTAGTGTTCAAGTGGGTTACATAGTAATGGTAAGAGGGACTGCCTCTGACATAATCTGATTGGCCTGCTCTTTGATCACCTTCCCCTGTGTGGGGAGCAGCCTTACTAGGCCACAGAAGATGACAATGCAGCCATTCCTGATGAGATCTGATAGACTAAGATCAGAAGGAAGGAGAGGAGGACCTCCCCTATCAGTGGACTTGGGGAGGGGCATGCATCAAGAAGGCAGAGGGAGGGTAGTATCAGAAGGGGAGGGGAGAGGGGCTTATGGGAGGATAAAAAGTGAATAAAGTGTAATTAATAAAATAAAATTAAATTAAAAAAACAAGTCATCTCCTTTTAAGAATATATAAGACTTTTAGTTCCTTATAAGGTAATAATAATAAATAAATAACAATAACAATACCAGTTGTTCTATATTTAAGTAAGCTCTGATCAACTGGAGCTCTACTGAAGATCCACTGTGGGCATCCCGCTTGTGTTCCTGAGGCTCATTACTTCCTCTTTGTACCCTGCAACCATGCCCATTCTACTGGATTTGCCTAGCCTGTGATCCCTTCTGTTCTGTATCTTATTACACCAACCAACTCACTAGCCTCCTTCCTTCTGTCTGTACTGTCCCACAAGCAAAATTCTGCAGAGTAGTAAATCCAAAATCTATCTTAGGCCTTCATTATTCTTGATTCAGACCAATTCCGAGGTTTTACTTTCCGTTACTTAGATTTATTTTGTTTTGTTTTTGTGCCAGGTTCTCACAAGTCCTCACCGAATCCTCATAGGCAGCCCACCTATATCATCTTATGATCACATGAGCTCTCTAAGAGACTTTTTCTATTGTGACTGAGAACCTTTAACTACGTCAACAGTGTTTGTTACCGGGTGCCAATCTTCCCTCAATGTTATCTTTTCTATACTCAACGCTAATCAGAAATACCTGTCAGAATACCCTACGTAAGGGGTATGCTGCCTTTTCCTCCACTACTCTCTGCACCCAAGCACATCCTGTTCACTCCATATATCATCAGGTAAATATATATATATATATATATATATATATATATATATATATATTAGAACAAGTTTTTCATATAAGAACAAAATTTTCAATTATTACTTATGGTATAATACGTTTATTTTCCCAAATAAGCAAGGCACGTTAGGTGCTTGCTTAGTCCTTGCTTATTTCCTGAAACTACAAACATTATGAGGGCATGAAATTCTCTTTGATACATTCTAATCAGTTGAAATAATGCCTAGTACACAGTAGCTGGTCAGTCAACATAAATAAACGCACTTAGTTTCCTAAGTAGCTCTCAAGAGTGAGTTTGTTTGTTTTTGTTTTTTGTTTTTCTGAGTTCGGAGTAAGAGAGAAATAGTTGAAATGTGTGTCTAGTCACACTTCCTAATGTAAGACAATAAGAAGACGATGATTCAATCAATAGTGAAGGAATTAATACTGCCTTTGGGGATGTTAAAATTTGAATATGGAATGTCCACCAAAAGCATATGTAAAAGCCCTGATCTCGCTTGACAGTGCTATTGGGAAGTTGGTAGAAGCTCTAGGAGACAGGACTTAATTGTAAGAAATATGTCCCTGAAGAAGTGATCTTGAGAGATTTATTTTGGCCTCTGCCCCCTTCACGGCCATCTTGAGATAAGCATGTTCCCGCGTAACAGGTCTCTCCCACAGTTTCTGCCAACGTAGACCAAATTGGTGATTCTAAGTAACGCCTTGACTTAAACACTGAGCTAACGTAAACCTTTGTTCTGTTTAGTCCTGTTTTATTTTGTTTTGTTTTTGTGCCAGGTACTCTTGTCACACCAAATAGAGTGCCAATATACAGGGCTATCTTTCACTTCCAACCCTCAGAGTTCAACTTTTGGTCATGAATCCATTTTAATTATATGAAATAGGTGAACAAAAGGTAAATACTTAATGTAAAGTGTGTTTCACAAGTTTGTTATATTTTGCAAGTCCTACACTATGCAAAGCAATAAAAATAAGTAAAATTAGCTCCAATTAATGTTGTAGGCTGTTTAAATTTGTAGGATAACATGAGTGAACTAGTGAATTCCTAAAAGTATATGTCAGAAAAGATTCTGATGATTATAAGACCACAATGGAAAAAACATATTAAAATAGTAAATGGAGTAAAATCCACAGAACAAAACTGACATTTGAAGTAGCTTTGAACTAGTGACTACCGATCATTTACTGAGGTCAATTTGTGCTATGGTTAATCTGCATCTGACAAATTACCCACCAACTGCAGTTATAATTCTTGCCAGATAGAAGCCTCCAAGCATGTGCGGGCATTTTCAAGTAAATCAAATTCAAAACACTGATTTGAATAAAATGGGCAATTTATCTTTCCACAAATATACTCAGCTTATGGCCTCATGACTAGTGTCCCTTATAAAATATTATCTTTCTCTGATAGGATTAAATTGGAGGGATCTTGGTGTACACAGTCAGCTTATGCTCTATAGAAGTCAGGCCAGAATGAAAGGGTGTTAAATCTGTCATCTTTAGTAAGTTAACTAAATACTGAATCTAATCAGTGCTCATATGAAGGCTCTTCAAAAATACTATGCTGCGATTTCATTCAATTTTCTTTCTAGCAGAAACAGTTCACTCTAAGTATGAACAAAGTGCATCTCTCTCTCTCTCTCTCTCACTCTCTCTCTCTCTATATATATACACATATGCATATATGTGTGTAGATATATGTCTATATAAGTACACGTGTGTGTGTGTGTGTATTAGTTATTAGTGTAGTTAGACTTTGGGGATCTTAGTTGTCTTCAATAAAACATTCATATAACATCCAGACATTTTATGAAAAATGCAGATTGTTGAGGATATGGAAGACTTAGCACATTTGACTGTTACTAATTAGGATACACTTCAAAGATATTACAACGCTGACAAAAAGATAGACCAGCGATTCTGACCCAAATGCATGTATCATTTTATCCAAATTAATATTTTAAAGTTCCTTTTAAGTGGACTGTCAAAATGAAAATAATTACACATAGCCCAGAATTTAATTAGTTTCCATCGGTCCACTTTAAGGACAGTCTGATGATTTAAATTAGGGCTGCATAGCAACAGTGTCACTGCCTAAAGTCTGCAGGACGCCAGCCCTGTCTCCTCGGAAGCTGATGCTTTACCTCCTCCGGAACAGCTCGAATATTAACAAAGCCCTTTCTGAAGACGATGAACACGCGACGGGCTCCGCAGCGCAGAGCGGATGTCGCGCAGTCAAAGGCAGTATCCCCAGCTCCGAGTACAATCACGGCTCCCCGGATGGACGGCAACGGAGAGTGACAGGCGCACATTCCTGAACGATGAAAGGAAAACCCCATTTTCAAGTAGAGAAACCATTTCTGCATGACAGCTCAAAAGATACTTGTACTCAAAGCACTGTAAAATTGCATCTTGCAGTTTTCCGGGGTGGAGTGTCACTATCAAATTATTCTGCTTCGTTGAGAGACAGTTTTATTCCCATTTTAAAAATATGCTCATATATGTAATTTCATACTCAGTACCCTTATCTTTCTTTTTTTCCCCTTCTAAAAGGACTGCTGCAACACTTTTATGGAATTTTAGTCATGATAAACATAATGAATAAATTAAAAGTCATGATACATATTTTACTTTTGCCTAATTAAATTTCTATACATTAGCGAAACAAAGCAATGCTTATCATCTCATCCCATATCTATTACGTTTTGTTATAATACTTTACATAATTTCTAACATAACTCTACTACATATTTTATATTTAGTAGAGTTTTTAAATTAACATGTTAAGTGTCATGTTTGTAACTCAGGAATTTCTGGGGATGGTGGCTCTAATAGAGCTGTCTCTTTTTTTAATTTCTCTGGCTCTTTCTGTGAAACTGGAAAATTAACATATATATATTATATATATATATATTATATGTATATATACATAGGTTCCTCTTAAAACTGTTTTATTTCATTAATTAATGTCATGCTTATGTGTGTGCAGGCATTTTTACATGTCACAGTGTACATGGGGAGGTCAGAGGACACCTTTCAGCTGTAATTCCTCTCCTGCCATGTTGTGGGGTCCAGGAATGGAACTCATGTGTCCAGTGTATGCTTAGGTGCCTCTACCTGCTGAGCCATCCCACCAGATTGAGAAATATGACTTCGAAAAGATACGTTTCTCAGGATAACTAGAGGAAGACCCGGCACCCTTTTGAAGATCCTTGGAGAAAAAGAAATTCAGATTGTGTTCTGTCTTAGACAGTACTCTATTATCAGTACTGTATTATAAACTGCTGATAAGATAAATTACTATAATTTTTGAAATGCCACCCCAGATGATGACTAGACCTATAATTTCAATAACTATAATCATTTTGTTTAGAAGACTTTCTATTTGGGATTAGACAGTTGACATTCTGTGATAGTCAAATACAAGCTTGGTGCACTATGATCTTCCTGTGAGAAAAACACAAGCTCTCTGGACTCAGGGGTTGAGACACAGATACAGAAGATTTACTTCATTGTCACTACCTTTCAAGTAAATTTAATACAGAAAGTTGCTTTCCTGTTTAAATTTTGAGGAAAAAGGAAACAAAGTTTTTGATCATTTCCACACATAATTAGATGTAGGGACACATATGGCTCAGCCTTCCTCAAAAATAAACGTTTAAAAATTTTAGATCATTTAGTTAAAAAAATATATATATTACAGCTTCTTCATCACCAGGTCAAGGGCATTAATGTAGGTAAAGCTTGGTGTAGTCTTCCCTTCAGGTTGTTAGTCCTGGGGTACATGAAATAAAAGGGTGTCTATCAAAGTGTCTTCCTTTAACTGCCTAGAATTACTGCTCAGATTAGTCTTAATCTTCCTGCCTCTGCAGGCACACATCACACCCGACACGAGAAGATTCACCCTACTTTAAAATAGCTCGCTAAGTAGAAATCTCGCCTGCATTGCTAGAGTCTCCTCTGTTGTTTGCTAATGTTTTTTTTTATTTTGAGTTAATTGTTCATGATGCATTTCAGACTTAGAAAAAAAAAAACATTCAGACTTAAAAAAAAAAAAAAAGAACGTTGTATCATGACGCTTTCTCGGAATAGGCTATTCTATAATTCCTGCAAAATGTAGTATCAGGCTCTTTAATGTTTTTATCTTAGTGCTGTTTATTCAAGAATCCAGATAAGATATGAACAATGTCCTACTGAGTTTGAATTTAATATAAATTTATAATGCCTGGAGCAACACGGACAACATTGAGACAAAATCTATAGGTTTTACCTGTTTTACTGCCTTTGGCAACAAGTGGCAGAAAGTCTTTGGATGTGTAAAATCCTTGGTCTTGTGTCAAGCCTTGGAAAATATGGTCTTTTTTGGGTTCTGGCAAGCCTATTTAACAAAGTTAAAAAAAATAATATCATTAGCAATCCCTTTACTAAATGATTATTAAGATTAGAAAAATAAAGACAATGTTCAAAATAATATGGCTGTTAGTGGAAAAAAATGTTTATACACACACCAAAAAATAAATGTAGATAATGCGATTGTATTGGGTGGTTTTATTCAACTTGACACAAGCAAGAGTCACTGGTTAGGAGGAAGCCCCAATTGGGATAGTGGCTCCACATGATCAGGCTGTGGGAAAGCCTAGAGAGCATATTCTTACTTCGTGGCTGAGTAGGGAGGGCTGAGCCTATGTTGACTGTAGCATCCCTGGGCAGTTGGTCCTGGGTCATATCAGAAAACAGGCTGAGCAAGCCATTAGGAGCAAGCTAAAAAGTAGTACCCCTCCATGGCCTCTGCATCATCTTCTGCCCTGTAGGCTGTTGTCCTGTTGAGTTTCTATTTTTGTTTTCTTCAATGATGGGTTACTATGTGGAAGCATAAGCCAAATAAACCCTTTCCTCCCCAATTTGCTTTTGGTCATTGTGTTTCATCACACCAAATAGTAACCCTACCTAAGACACTGATTTAACAGGTCTTGTATATCTTTAATACAAAGCTAAATAGATATCACAAACTTCATATTAACTTACATTACATGCAAAAATATATAAATATACACAAAATAGAAATATACTGTTTAACAACATGCAAAACATAGTATGCCCTGATACAGTATTAGTGGGAAAATTATAGTATTTTATGTTTTAAATAAAAATGTTTGAGAGTATAGAATATGTTGAGAGTTAAAAACCTTTAGCAAAGCTAAAAAGAAAATCTGTCGTGGGTACATATTTAATTAATGGACAAGAAAGAATAATATTCTATGGAAAATGGACATAAATACACCCCAAAGAATAAACGGATTTTACAACAAAAGTTCAGCTTCTCCTCAGTGTCAAATTATAGGTGAATTAAAAGATGAGAGATGAAGGTTGATGAGATGGCTCAGTAGGTAAAGACAGCTATTGTTCAAACTTGAGTTCAATCTCAGGAACCCATGTAAAGATAAAAGGGACAACAGACACTACAAAAGTGTCTTCTGATCTGCAGATGCTTGCTGCTCACTTAGACACACACACACACACACACACACACACACACTCGTGCATGCACTCACATCCACATATATACATGCACACATACATATGCGCACCCACAGAAAAGCAGAGTCATAGTAATAATAAAAGATGAGTGGAAACAAAAAACCTTTAAGAAGTAAAACATCTATTACTCAGATATATTATTTAATATGGAAGGAGCTAGAAAAGATCATCCTGACAGAGGTATCCCAGAGGCAGCGAGACAAGCCTGATATATTACTCACTTATAAGCGGATATTAGACATATAATATAGGCTAAGCATACTAAATTCTACAGACCTACAGAAGCTAAGTAACAAGGAGGACCCTAGGGAAGATGCTTAATTTTTACAAAGAAGGGAAAACAACATAGGCACCAGAAGCAGTAGAAGAGAGAACAGGATGGGAGCCTACCACAGAAGTCCTCTAAAAGACTCCAACCAGCAGGGGATCAAAGCAGATGCAGAGACTCACAGTCAAGCTTTGGACAGAGTGCAGGAAGTCTTAATGAAGAGAGGACCTATGCCCCTGCTCAGATGTAACTTATAGATATCTCAATCTCCATGTAGGTTCCCTGGTAAGAGGAGAAGAGACAGTATCTGACATGAACTTGCTTGCCTGATCCTTTATTATTTTTCCCTGATGGGGTAACCTTGCCAGCCCACAGAGGAAGAGGATTAAGGCAGTCCTGATGGGACCTGATAGGTAGGATCAGACAGTAGAGGAGGAGGACTTCCCCTATCAGTGGTCTAGGGAAAAGGGATAGAAGAGGAAGAGGGAAGGAGAGTGGGACAAGGAGGAGATGATGGAGGGGGCTACAACTGGGATACAAAGTGCATAAATTGTAAGTGATAATAATAGTAATAAGAATAATAATTAAAAATAAATATATTAGAAAAGAATATACAGTTGGTGAACACAACTCTTCAAGCACTTTTAGTAGAAGCACATTGCTACTGAATTTTTAGAAAATGGTTTCCAATCTATTCCAAAGAGACAAAGGCATGCATATATATGTTAAATGTAAAAAAGGAGCAATAAAAAACATTTTCAAGGGTGAACAAAGACTAGGATTACCATGTTATAACTAAATGAATCATATTTCCAAAGGGGGGAAGAAAACAATAATTGCCCCTATAATGTGTATTTTAAAAACACTATATCATATTCAAGCTCAAACTTAATACATAAAAAAACACTCACTTGGTATTGAGATTATCTCTGATAATTCCGGATATTCTATTTGCTTATTGTTTCTTTTCCAAATCTTTGTTAACATGTACTCATGAACTATATATATTTAAGAAATGAAAATAAGAGTTCAAGTTGTCAGCAACCAGTGTGCACCTTATCTGAGGGGCACAGGATCCGAAACTCTGAAATTGGTGAGTGGAGGGGCAGCTGAAGCCAGAACATGGAAATTGGGGCTTCCTGTTGGAGAGGGGACAACCCGTGATCTGGGACCATTTGGATCCAGGTCACCCATAGACATCTCCAGGCACTGAGAGTGGTGAATATTCAATGCCCCCTGTACTTCCCTTTACCCCAAGCACCTGCCTCCCTCCTCAGCAGAGGCAGCAGTAGTCGCCCCAGGCACGAGTCTCCATGCTCAGTGACTGAGAGAGCACAGGCAAGCCTCCCAGGCCTGTGGCTGTATGGGCCTCCTAGCAGGCGGCTGTACCAGGCTTCCAGGTCTGCAGTGGCAGCAGGATGGGCAGCTAGCCCAAGCAGGAGCCTCCACGCTTCGTGACTGAAACAGCAGAGGTGGCTACCTCAAGTACAGGACTCTCTGCCTGGCGTACAAACAGTGGACACCACTGAGCTGATGGATCTCCTACGTTCTCATTTGCCTCAGCAGACCCAAATATGAGAGTGGAGAACAGGAGTAAACCCTTTACTTTCTGAATAGGCCTGTAAGCAAGTGAGTGCACCTTCAAGTGAGTGCTTGCAGAGCCCCAGATCCAGGGTCCCCCTACACTAGCAACCAGACATCCATTGGATCCCTCCTACCCACACCCCCACTGTGGGCAACATAGGGATCCTTGGAACAGCGTTCTCAACATTGAAGCCCCTGTGCTGTGGGTCCACCAACGGAGTCCACACAAACAATTCCTGGAGCCCAAACAGATCTGAATACCAGGAGGACAATACTACTACGGGAGTGTAGGCCACTGAGATACTCAGGGAACCTGAGCATGTACATCGTGGCCACCAGCACCAGCAACCGCGCCCACTCTGCACCCCTTGCTTCTGTCTCAAATTCATGGTTCATTTTTAATTGTTATGATAAATATATTAAAAAAATAACAGTACACAGATAATTCTTAATATGAATCAGTCTTAAATATTTATAAACATAAATAAAACCTGCTAAGTCAATGCAAAGTTACCTGTATATGTAGGATTTTAGGACTGATCAGTTGATATTGGGTGGGATAATAATTTTATTCATTCATTCATTCATTCATTCATTCATTCATTCATTCATTGTTCACTTGGATCAAGACATGGGTAAAGAAATTGGGTTTCTAATTCTTTCATTTGGATCTACATTTGGCACTATGATGGATTTAACATTTACTGGGTCAGAGTTTCCCTATAAATGTTTCAAAGGGAATTGGCAAGTTGTTCTGAGCTATGAATGTTGGCTTAAGAAGATGAAAAACGAGCCAGTAACTAGACAGATTTAGGATGATTAAATTATCCCTGCACCCTGCATAGCTCAGGTCGCATACAGAGTCCCAAGACTCATGAAGGCCATGTCTCTAATGCAGGTAACTTATGTCTCAATATAGTTACATTAACGTTCTTGTCACGGGCACTTTGGAAGATACGTACCTATAATGCTATGGTGTGACCAGGAGCAGTTCTTGGTCACTAGACTGATTTTGGAGTAAATCCTTCTTCACCTACTTAACAGCGCTGCGATCTTGTGTAAGATCCTGTGATGAAATGTTTTATATGTCAAGCTGACTGAGCTAGAGAGCCAGCTATGCACTAAAATAGTAATCTATGTATTACTGTAGATAATGCTGTTTAAAACTATAATTGTAAGACTTTAACTGAAGACATTAGTGTGAGCAGGCCTTATTCTCTATCAACCAAAGGTCTTAAGAAAACCAATTTCCCTAAGGTTGGGGGTGGGGGAGAGGAAGAAAACCTGTTTCTGTACTGAACATTAGGACTCCAGCTCAAGAGTGTTTGTATGGCATGCACAAGGCTCTGGTCTCAATTTTAAATCAGGTGTGGTAAAGCATGCTTGTAATCCCAGCACTATGGAGGAGGAGGCAGGAGCTAAAGCTCATCTTGATCTTCATAGTAAATTCAGTGCCAATCTGGGCTACGTGCTAATTGCTAATTGCACATCCAGTCTGGGCTTGTGAACCTCATTCTCTCTCTCTCTCTCTCTCTCTCTCTCTCTGTGTGTGTGTGTGTGAGAGAGAGAGAGAGAGAGAGAGAGAGAGAGAGAGAGAGAGAACACCATATTATGCCTGAGAGATCCCTTTTGGCTTCTTACATAATTCTGATTTTTTTTTCTCAAAATTAAAAATGACCTATTTTCTAAGATAAATGATAAGATTGTCAATACATACTCTCTGACTTTCTGTTTCTCTCTGTCTCTGTCTCTCTGTTTCTCTTTCTCACATGAATGAATATACATATATGCCTACTGACTCTGTTTTTTCCAGATATCTCTGAACTTCAAGACACTCACAGTCTCTGATAATCACCATTTCTATTAAGGATGTAAAAACTGCAGTATTCTCTTGAATGCAAGATTCAGAAATCACCTATGCTGATGTGAATTCATATGTCATTGAGAACTGGTACATAATGAATGTTCAATGAGCCTTTGATCTAAGA